AAAACAACTGAATGACCTGGCATTTATGATTGCTTGACAATTTCAAATACTGAAGGAGAACTAGATGATGTGATGAGTAGGTATTGCCGAGGTCCCACGAAAAATGACGAGAAGCCTTGTGCGCCCTTAAGTTCAGTTTGCATTACAGGTTTGAAGCCCTAAAACAAAGCATAAATCAGGTTAAAAATTTGCAATTGTTAAATGACATACCAGTACCACTAAATAATTGTACCTCTATATGACTGAATTTGTAGAGGTAAAATAGGTCATCAGAAGTCGTAACTCCAAGGTAGGCATCACTAATTCCTGCCTGGCCAACATAAAAGACTCCTAATCCAGTTGGTATGGAGTTTGGATTCAACTGCTGTACAAAATGATAATCATCATGTGCTGAATCGTGTTTGAGCACAATGACTGGAGCGTAAAGCTGTTTCTGAGCAATAACTATCAGACTATCTCCTCCTTGCACCACACTGACAGCAGAGACAACACTGTCAGACGGAATTCTCTTAACAAGTTTCAGCTAAAATAAGAAGATTAAGATTATTCAAACAGTTGGAACCCAGACCAATGATCTCAATGTTTCTAGATACTTATACAATACCTCTTCAGTTCTAGGAGAAAATCTATATATATCGAGAGAAACTTTGGTGGATTGTTTTGAGGAATCAAAGCTATTTCCCACAACAAGGTGATGTCCAGCTGTAGTAGAAAATACATCTAGACTAAGAACTCCCTGTGTTGGGAACTCTGCAACTATTCTTGCTCTTTGAGTTGTACGATCTATGTAGACTACCACGCTGTTGAGATTAGTAGTATCTGCCAATGATCAGTGAATAGATTAGAAAACAAGATAAATTCTAGAAACTAAAGCAAGTGCTTTACACAGGATATCAATCTACTTACCAAGATAGGGATTGTAATAAATACCAAGAACAACATATACATGACCATTAACAACTATCGTTTTGACATCAGAGACATATCCAAGGATTGGTTTTGAGTCAATATTAACTGAAAATTCTTTCAGTTCATTGTTTGAGCCCATCTCAACCCAGCTTATCAAGGTTACTTCATTTAAACGGTCTGCACCATCCAGACGGCATCTGAGAAATAAAGAACAAGTTTTGAAGAAGGTCTTGAAAGTGAATATTGAAGAAGTTTGTCAATTTTACCTTGTGTCTCGGCTGACTGTATTTGTTTTCACTATGACAGTTACATGAGGATCCTTCAAATGGAATGTAAAGGAGCGCTGCGTAGAGTTCTGCTTGAGACCTGTCGACCAAGTGGTGCGCAACTGACCTTCAGACGATGCATGAACTGTGTACTGTGCAGGGCACATACATGTGGCAGGGAGTCCACAGTGCACATTTGATGCCCAGCCATAAACATCTATGAAACTTTCTGAACCATCACTCATCCTTTCAATGGCTCTATAAGTATTGGTGAAAGAAACTGCAGCATCAGCAACAAGTTCCAAATACAATAACTCAGACAAATCACCCCGTGCTGTAAAGAAATTGAATGTTAAGTAAAATTGTCAGCAGTATAAAAGCCTAACAGCCAAATATTGACAATACCTGTCAGCAATGAGTTTGTCTCCTGAATGGTTCGAGCAATACTTTGAACACCTTCCAAGCTACGGAAGTATCTACTATTGAGCATGCGGGCCAAATCAGACATTTTCATATCATTCACAGTATCAATAACATCCAAATTTGCATTTAGGGTTGCAATGTTGCCAAGGATCTGGAAAATGAAATTACATGCATTAGATTCCATTTCAGAACTGCGGCAACTAAATAAATCTTGCTATCAGTCCGCACAAAATACACACCAAATCACCAAATATGGTAGCATTTTCATCTTTAAATAAGGCAGCACTGTAAGCAACTCGCAAGTCAACATTCCATAATTGGTCAACTTCCATTGGTCCATCAACTCTCACATTTTGTGCAAAGTGCTTCTTCCCTCGTATCTCTTGCTCAATCAGACTATCACGCAGCACAATGTCCGCTATATCTAGATTATTAATACGTGGAGCAACCATTTCACCTGTAAAGAATTCCAGTCATGAAACATGTTGAAAACAGATAACAAAACACAATTTAATTGAACTAACCTTCTACAGTTACATCCCGAATGAAATTGATGTGACCATTGATCTGCTGAGAACTATCGAGGGTAACCCTTTCAGCGAGGAGTTCATCAAGTTTGAAATCATTAACACTGTTGAAGCTGAGATCAGTTTTGACTTCAAGGGGACCAAGAAAATGAAGAGGAGGCAGAAGTGGCTGGTCGTAACATGCAACCTCAGATGGCACCAAACCATTTACAGTGTCTGAAACAAAATGAAAGATCAGTATACCTGTTAGAGATACCAGATACCTGGTAGAGAACTAACGGCAGGAAGAAGAACTAGATAACTTACCAACTTTCAGAAGATCAGCTGTGAAACCTTGAAGGAACCTCTTGTTTCCATTGACAATCTGGTCACCATAAACCCTCACAAGAGAACTATTGAACTTCAATATATTTACACCAGCGACAGTCTTAGCTGCAACATTACCCATGATGTGCATGGTAGTCGTAGAAAGCCTAGTGCTGAATATTTTCTTGCTGTTGATTACCTAGAGAAAATTACAGTTAATGAGAGATGTGTGTATTATGAGTGATTAAAAAAGGGGGTGAGAGTAAGTGAAATACCTGGTCAGGAAGTGATTTCCGGAGGGAATCTCTAGCAATACTTTCAAAGTCAATATCATTGATGTGCTTGTGGGAATTAAAGTTGTCGACTGAGGCAGTATAGTCAAATGCAACTTCACCAGATATAACTTGATTGCTATTTATGGTTACTGCAGACCCTAGGAAGTAGCCCAGGCCAGCAATACGTTGATGCAAATCCTCTGTCCAATCCAAATTACCATTCACGAGTAGTGAACTCCAATGCCTTCCATCCAAAGTTTGCAATCTCTTTGCCACCTGAACAAGCAACATAAAATTTTAGCACCTGAAGCAAATGTGTATACCATGTGCCAATAGTGACTTACCAAATTAAGGTCACAAGTTTTCTCAAAAGTAGCTGTATATAAATGACCAATTACATCCACATCATTGGTGAGGAGGAGGTCTCCTTCAATATGTTGACGGCTCATTAGTTCAGAACTCAAAAGATTTCCAACATCAATGTTATTCACTAACGATGCCTTAAGTTCACCTGAAAACGAAAATAATGATTTCTGTGAATAAGACACAACACAAAACGATCCATTTTATAAGAAGTCTTACTTGCAACAATGTCTTTCATTCTAATTCTTGCAGATATAAGTTGATCTTTGGTCTTTGATAGTACATTTTCAAATAGGTTCTTCAGCTTGATACCATTGTAGTCCAGAGCATCAAAACTTCCCTCAACACTCAACTGAGAAGCAAATGTCTTTCTCCCACGAATAATTGCATCCTTTGATTTGTCCACAACCTGTTCAAAACAATTTTAAAATGATTTTTTTTTCAAAATATACTAAAAATAATTCAAAATAATTAAGCAAATTACCCTCTCGATGTAATCTTTTTTCACAAATTTGTTGTTAACAGACTGCACATTAATGAAAGACGGAACAAAAACATTGCCTTTCAGAGTAACTCTGTGAACTCTTGGTACAGTCTTGTGATTTGGATCTCCAATCAAGTTAAACGGTACTCCATTTATTGTGTTCACGTTTATGTATGTTGCTGCAATAGAACATTTTAGTATAAAGACGGCACATTTTAACTGTACAAATAAAGATACAGGAAAAGTACTAACCGCTCACAGCAGAAATTGTGGCTGAAGGGATGCGACCAGGTCGATCTATTAAAAGCGCCTTTGACAAGCGGTCACACAAATTCACTTTGTTGACACTTCCAACGGAAATATCGGAGTGGACATGTAAGTTTCCACCAACCCAAATTTCTTGGTATGCTGGACCTATTAAAAGAAAAAGCACATTAAATTTAAATGATGTCTTAATACTTTCTGGTCAGTTCACTTCAAGACATTGCATCAACACACCTTGTGTGTTTTTAGCACCCAAAAGGTCAGCTACAATCCTGTTGTCAAGGTACTCAGCCATCAAATGGTTGACAGACAATCCACCAAGGAAAATCTTAAAAGAAAACAGTGATCATGTTGAAATTATTGAAAGAAAAGCTTTAACAAATTCAAAGGAAAATCTTTACACAAAATAATTGGATTATCAAAAGTAAATAAAATAGATAAAACTAACTGAAAGGACAGATAAAATCATTTACCTTTGAACCGGACACAACATATTCTCCACTTGTCTTGACAATAGTAGAAGACAGCTCTTTGAGGACGACTGGCGACTGGAGGGCTGATGGTTCATGAACTAAATCTCCATCAACAGTAGTAGAGGGTGGGAAATGCCATGTTCCTTTCAGGTTTTTAGTGGATGATAAACTGACAAAGTCCTCAATGTTATGACCATTGATGGTATTAATGGCTAAATTTTGTATGCTTAGTTCATTGGAAGATTGGAGAATATTTTTAATTTCCTGCAAGAAGCGAAAAATATGGGGTATAACAGTATAACTTTCAAAGTTGAAGTCTATAACATGAGAGATATCAGTACCTGATCACTGCTCTTGGTCCAATAGTTAAGGCGCAAGTCATGGAAATCTATTAACTTGTCCCCAAGAAAAACTTTAACTTCGTCCAATTTTACATCCATCAGCTGTAAAAAATGCTCTGCTGTTAGATGCATTAACAAAGATATAACCCGAAGCACTTAAAATTACCTTTAATGAGCCTTCCACTCTGACAGTACCCTTATAAATTATTTTGGGTTCATTTAGAAGGCGTCTTCCCACTTCCTGGCCAGCAATACTTGCTTTAGGTGGAAGAACTAGTTCATGTGATTCTAGACTCTTGAAAGTTACAGGAGCTGGAGATGAAAATACAAATTACAGAAGCAAAGAGAAACAAGAGATAAACTTCAGTTAAACATTCTACAACATCTGCATCTTACTGGAGACTGAAAATGGCGAATTAAGGTATGCAGCATCTCTACTTAGTTTCAATCCATTTAAACTGCCCACAATAATGTCAGTGGCACTCAAACTGTCAACAGCCAATCCCTTAATGACTTGGTGAGTAGTACGAGTCAGTAGTGATGAAGTAGGGATTTCATTGACTTGCAATGCATCAAGGCTCTGCAGATTCAATTGGCTTCGGTAATGAATGTCACCTGTCATACATAAAAATGGAAATGAGCAAATCGGTGAGGAGCAAGTAATGATTTGTGACTTGTGCCAGCTTAAAATTTTACCTTTAATTGTTTGACTCATTCCTTTCAGGAAAAGGGTATGTAGAAGATCATTGATTGGAACACCATTGATCCTGCCATTTACAGTCAAATTGTGAATTCTAAGATCACCATTAGACTTGTAGGTCATGGCACCAGGATACGTAGGAGGCATTGGCATAGGAAGATTTGGTTGCTGAAGACTCGCAATCCATTGAGTGAAGTTCACCTGCATAGAAGCATCATTCGGACTAGGTAAGTACAGAATGGTCAATATATAACTAATACGGAAAAAATGAAACTTACATTATTTAGCAGGCCAACTGCAAGTTGCTGTAGATCAAGACCAGCAAAAGTCTTTGTCCCAGTAACAGGGATCACTTCGCGTGACTTTGACGTGATAATACGGGACATAGATATCCCGTTCACAGGAATCTGATCGTTCTCAATAACGACCTTTCTGGCTTTGATGTGATCCACTAATTGTAGCCCAGAAATTATTTGATGATCAACACTCTTCCTTAACATGTCTACAACAAGAAAGAAGCTATCAATATCCTGACACTCACTAATTTCTAAAAAAAATGGGTGTTACTATACCTTCAATTTTGAAGTGATTTAAAGAGCTAACATGAAGTGAATCAACATTGATTGTCTCTGCAGTAATTTTTCCTGTTAGCCTTTGATCTTTGTTGTACATCAGGAATTTGCTAGGATCAAAGTCCACACCATTTAACTTAGAAATGTAAACCGACTCCATATTAATATTGCTGCTGTACAATTTGGTTGTTGTGAGACGTCCACTTAAACTGGACGGAGAAGATTTGAAGACAATATTTTTCAAACTATCAGCAAGTCTGAAAGCAAGTCCCCTTGCTTTCTCAATTCCCTCTTCAAGTTCACTGCGTGTCAGAATCATTGTAGTGGAATCCTCCTTAGTTAAATTGACACGTTGAACAACAGCAACATTTGGGACAAGCTGCAGGAAAAAATTTGTTTAGAACTAGCAAAGATTCAATAGAGAAAACTATAAAGAAAAGATGACATACCTTTTTCACAACTAACTTCCCTTTGAAGTTGCCAACATTGCTCAAAATCATTAGTTTAGATCTTTCAGATAATATATCCTGGAGCATGATATCCTGAGACTTGATTTTATATTCCAGTGAGGATATGCACTTCAAGAGAGGATCGTCCAATCCTTGAGGAATGTGATTGATAGTGGCTGCTTTGAACACGACTTGCAATTCCAAGACATTAGGAATCATCTGCCCATTTGACTCTGTTATGGCAAGCAAGGAGATTGAATCATCTTTACTGTAAAAAGATGCACTCTGAACTGATGAGCTGAACTCATGTTCAGTAATAAACTGAAAGGAGGCAGCAGTTGGTCGGTAAACCTTGATTCTAGTCTGCAAGAGGGGCAATTTTCAATTAGAATAATTTGAATATCAACATCCATTTATAAAAAATGAAAGGCAAAAATACTTTAACAGACCTTTTCAGCGAGAAGAATAAGAGTTTCCCCCTTAAGGTAGCCAACACCAATTGAACGAATACTCTCCACACTCTTTAAAGTATCCCAAATGATCATTTCAGTGCCTGCAAAACACTTTTAAAATTAAGAAACACAAAATTCCAAAACAAAACTGACGAAGCAACAGCAGCAAAAACATACCTGCCCACCAACAAATGATGCTGGGCCCCTGAACAGTTGATACAAGCAAATAATTTTCAGAGTGGAAGGTGTAATGCTGCAAAGCAGAGGGCTGGGATGTAGGTAGAAACTGTACCAGCTGCCACTTGTTTCCAGTCCGGACAAAAATCTCTAAACCTGCCTGAAATGGGAAAAAATAAAAATAAAATAAATTCTCATTGAAATCTGTTCAATTACTGACAAGAAATAGCTACCGTCCGGCTCTCTGTGGCATCAACTGCTACAGTTATAACAACAGACTCTCTGAATGGGAATGTTGAAACAGCTGAAGCCCCGATCAACAAATGTCGATTTTCCTCATCAAGTTGTGTGCCATACCAACGATATACCCTGTAAAAAAAATTATTGCAAACATTTGGTAATTTAAAGAAAGAGTAAAATTCTCACAGAAATATGAGCTACATACACAACAGGTACAAATGCAGAACCATTTTTGGCAGAGACAATAAGGAATAATTTCTCATCTTGCATAAAAAACTCAGCATCTGTAGGTGTTCCATGGCACTCAATAGACTGGCGCAAAATAACTTCATTAGTTTGGGCTACTGTAAAAAGTTGAAGAAGTCCTTCCTTGTATGCTGCAACCAAATAAAGTAAGCCCTCCCATTCCACACTCTGCAAACAGAAACAATAATGCAATGAAACAAGCTACAAAAAAGCAATACGGTTCATTGAATCAACAACATTCTTCCATACCTCCATAAAAGCAATATCGCCCAGAAATTCTGGAAACTTGGCAACTTGTTCTGTATTGTAATTACTTTGTCCTGGTCCCTCAATCAAACGGTACAGTATTTTTCCAGACAAAATAAAGCTTTGGTTGAAAGAGCGAAATGTAGATGCAGCAGAACCTTTGATAGTACCCAGTTTCCATGTGAATGCTGGAGTCACATCAATGGAGTCTACAAATGAAACAAAGTATCACCTAAATCATGGTGCCAATGGAAGTACTGGTACAATAATCAGAAAGGTATAGGAACATACCTCTATTGCGAAGTTCAGTAGTAAGGAAGTTCTGAGCAAGTCGTTTCTTGCCATCATTTATTTCCCCTTTGATCAATTGTTGCAGTTCATCTCTGGACGGGGTACCGTTTGGCATGCCCTCCGTGACCGAGAAGGAATATTGTGCCTGAGTACCCACACTCAAAGCAATCAGAACTATGACCTGAAAGGAGTAGACCACACCACATGTCAGTGTGTCAAATGAACCCAGTTTACATATAAGAACTTGACATTTACACATGCTCGATGTCGGAGGAACCCAATAGCAAAGCACTAGCAAATGCCAACCATCTTCCTAGACGTGACATAGAACAGAAGTAAATACTCACTGCAAACCAGGCTGACATGATGCACCATCTGCTGGTCTTCATGTCGTTGAAATTGAGTTACTTGTCATTCCTTGCAAAGTGGGACAGCACACACGAGGACCCCAACCCACCAAGCAGCGGAAGAAGGGGCACGATGAAGATGTCGGCAAGTTGATGGAGAATGTTCCAAAGGGGCCACACGGAACAGACTAAAGGTGGATTTGACACCGGCTCCAAGTACACCTCGGACCGGCTCGGCTGGCGGCTGCTGCTGCCCAGCGTCCGCCCCCCCCCCTCCCCCCTCCCCCTAAAGCGCAACAACGACTGCATCCAAAACGTCTCCCTTCCCCCTCGTCCGACCGGCCTGATGCAAAGGAGAAAGAACAGAGAGCTGCCACCGCGGTCCCAGACGCTGAGCTGAAGGGCCAGTCGAGTAATACAAATGCACATTTAGCCACAGTTGTCCCGGCGAAAGAATGGCATTGCTTGACGTGTCCCCACCACGCTTCACGACACCGTTCAGCTGTCAGACTCAATATAGTTTTAACATACTAAATGGGGTATTAGGTGACATATCTGAACCAAGGAGCTCTTGGTACAGAGATTGAATCGCTGCTCGCCCCAATTATTTTAGTCTCTAAATGCAAACACTGGCTATATGGGTTGTGCATTTATTCCCCAATCTGACCTTAGTTAGCTGTGAAATAAGTAGGAACCCATTTTGCTCAATAAAATATTTTTTTATGTAGACATTCAAATTTTGCCAAACATATGCATGTACAAAATATTATCCTCCGTAATAGGTATGAATAAGAAGAAATTTCTTTAAAAATATATCCATGAACACAATTTTTTATTTCTTTAGCTACTTAAAGTGGATTTGTGAGGGGAAGTTAAATATTGTAAAGTGAATTTGGTGACATAGGTGATAAAAGAACTTCTATGGGAATACATTAGCAAATTTCATAGCATACATAAAGTTTAGTTTTATAGAGACAGATAAATTAAGAGAAAAATGAAAAATAGTCTCAGCACTTTTAGCTCTTGTTCCTAGGATCCAACTACAAAACATAGAAAAACTAGATAATAGAATGATAAAACTGTAAATCACATGGGTAGAATAAAACATATTGATACTTCATATCACAGAATGTCATCGTTTACATGTTTCATAAAAGACTAATACTTTAAGTCTATTCACAGCCTCTTCTGCAGCCTGGGATGGAAAACCAAATTTAAAAAAAAATTATTTATGTCGGTTCACAAAAAGTAGTCAACAGAAAAAGAAACCTTTAGCAGAATTCTTTAACTTAACTTTCAATAAATTAATTCTACTCACCTCTTGCACTAAATCACTTGAATCTTCAAGAAGCTTCTCCAGGTCTGATCGTAACTGTGAGGTCCATGCATTTTGTAGAGCTCTGCAGGAACAACGGCCAAGTAGTCGAAGAAGGTGACAGCATCTTGATTTTATCAGTGGGCACTTATTCTTGAGAATACTGCTCAGATCTTTTCCCTTTTCTCCTGTTTGATATCAGATCAATAATTGTATGATTGAATGATGGAATACTTATGGGAAATGCTGAGCAGCTACTAAGATAAGCCAAAAAACTAGGTTGTTTTAGCCATTCTCTCAAGGCTTTAGTGTTCCAGCATTTCCCATAACAGCTATCAGTAAAATCTAAAATTCTAGAGAAGTTTCTTACTTTGAGCTGGGGAAAGCACAATTTCCTCAACAAGACTTGCATTTTCAGGCAATCTCCTCAAAATATGGGCAAGAATTGCAAGGAGATCAGCCACTATACGAGGTTTCCTACGACCTACTAATAAGAATTGTTGGAGAAGAGCTATTCCATCCAGAATTACAACAGCATCACAAAATTGGGCCAAAAAGTAGTCCCACATGTGCGTAAGATTACAAAGCAACAGATAGATGCATTCCATTGCCTGTTAAAAATATAAAATAAAAAATGTTTAAGTTAATATTTGACGTTTTGGCATTAATGGAAACAAAAATTTTGAAAACAGGAAATCTTACATGAAGTTCATCTGCTCCTAAGCCAGATACTGGCCGCAATGAATGTGTATCTTCCGAGTCAGTTTCAGCATCACAAATCCTCTGTCTTGTAAGTAAGTTGGATGCATAAACAAGATTAGGAACTGCCTTTACAATGCGATATACCTAAAAATGGAGGAAACCAAAGACAACAGATATAATACTCCATCCAAAATAATACCTAGTTCAAAAGTGATTGTGCACTAACTTACTTCTTTTATCCTGGTCAGTGCATCATTACTAATGCCATTCACAACAAAAGGAAGGGATAATAAATTTGCTACATACTCAATAACTTTACTTGAAGCGTGGGGGTTGTGCAATGGTGCAACAAGCATGGCAACAAAATTTTCTTGAGTCATAACATCTATCTCTCCCTCCATAACTTCTTCCATTGTCTTTTGAAGGAAGAATAGCCATTCTTCACATTCGATAGGCTGTGGATTATTTTCAGACATCCAGCTTAAAAGAGATTGACCACCACTTTTTGCTGACTTGATGTCATTTTGAGATAGGTTGCATAACTCAGCACTCTCATCATTGAGTTCTCCATTAATAGTTACACGAGCAGAGGGGCATTCCACATCTCTTTGAATGACAGCTACTGGAGAGGAGATGTCTTCAGTTTCTTTTCCCATGGGGTCATTTGTTTGCACACCAGAAGTACATTTGGCATTGTCAGGAGAAGAAATCATATTAGGAGATACATTGCCATTGGCACCAATTATGTTATTTACTAAAATTTTGGTTGATCGAGGTAAGTTTTGATCACTATGTACTTGTTCAGGACTTTCTCTGCAAACTCTTGACTTTGAATGCATCTGCAGCTCTTGCAAAACCTTACGTTTATTCTCCTGTTGTTCTAAGTATTTTGCAGACTCTGCATATTTTCTGGAAATGGAGGTAAATTTTAAAAATTACCAGGTAAAATACGTTAAGTTATTACAGTACTATTTTTAGACATCAGGTATAAGGTATTGAAAGTCAATTAAAATTATGTAGGGGGAAAGGATTACCTTGGTTTTCCTGCAACATGGCATATCAAATCTTTCTTCTGTTTTTCCCTTGCCAAAGCCTGAGAGGCAGTTAATGGATGAGTAAGTGGTACAACAACTGAAAAAAAGTTGTTCAATCACAAAAAAGCATACAGGATGATACTACCATTTGATGACACATTACACATACCAGTGGCGTTTGATGGAATATTTGCTAAGTTAATTTTAGAAAAGTCAACAAATGGATGATGAAGTAAATTTGGCCAAGAAAGACGTTTGGAGGGATCTTTTTGCAACAAACCATGTAAAAAGGATAAACACTCTGGAGATAAAAATGTTGGCCACTTTATCTCCTGTTGAATTAAACTAACTAAACGAAGCAAAGCGTCAGTGTAATAAGGAGGAGAGCCAACTAAACATTCATAAACAATGCACCCAAGAGACCTGCCAGTGATTGATAAGAACAATAGGTAAAAATACATTCACAGTATTTAATTAGGCATTGAGGAAATTGTTTTTATTACATACCAAAGATCTGCACTGTGGTCATATGGACATTGCGAAATAATTTCAGGTGCCATGTACAAGGGAGTTCCCTTGATAGATGTCAACACATAAGTATCAATGCTCATACTTCTTGCAAATCCAAAATCACACAATTTAGCAGTGCCATCAGCTTCAACTAAAATATTTTGAGGTTTCAAATCCCTGTGAAAATAGAGAGGAATAATTAAATGAGGATGAGGCAAAATATTATGCGGTTAAATAGAGTAGTAGAGAAAATATACCTATGCAAAACTCTATGGTAATGTAAGTAGTAAAGAGCAGATAGTAAATCACATACAATTTCTTTAACTCTATTCTCAAGAAGATGCCCATTATCCTTTAGCAACTGAGAGAGATCTTGAGGTGCAAACTCTGTCACAACGATGATCTGCAATTCAGCTAGTAATAATAATGAAACTATAAACAATATTATTTAAAAAAAATATTCATTTCAGTACATACATCATCTTCAGTTTCAAAGGATTCTAACATGCGAATAATGTTGGGATGACAGAGGTTGCGCTGGATTTCAAATTCTTGACGTAGATTCTGAATTTCTTTTAGAGATTTTTGGCGCTGTGAATAAACATACAAGACAGAATAAGAAAATAGAGAAGGCATTGAAGTTCACAAATACAAACTATGGTTTTGACAGTAAATGACTCAAGTTGTGATTTATGCAGCCTGCTCATGGAATGAACCATACCTTTGTTATAACCTTGAGTGCAACATTTTGCTTGGAACTTTTTACTTCGGCTTTGTAAACAATACCGTAAGAGCCTTGCCCAATGACCGATATTTTTTTGTATTTATCCATTTTAATGAGGATACTAATAACGATGTAGGCTTGGAACTAGATGAACAAAACGTTCTGTCTTCAGGTAGACTCAAATTTCAAAATAAAATCGAAAATGCCATAATGTAAGAGATGATTGTTTGATCATAGAAGCGGCGGCAATTGAACCCAAAGCGGGATGTCTTTGTAGGTTATGTTGCTATAAAGTCACGGCCTTCTTAAATTCATTGTTGTGATACGAAGTTCTAAAGGTTTGTGTTGTTTCTCAGAGTTCGATGTGATAAAGTTGTTTACGTATTCTTTTCCAAGCATTTATATGCTTTTTTAACGTGAAGAATAATGCACGAGCCGTTTGTCAGGGTTTTGTCATGCCGCTTTTAACATCTACTTCTTAGCCTCATTTAAATTTGTCTAATTCTTAGACTACAAAACCTAACGATGGACGACAAAAATACTCTTTTGGCGGTGCTGCAGTACCTAGAAAAACACAATTTGAAGGTGAGTTTTGAATTAATCGATGAACTGCATTTTAATTTCACTTTCTATTTTGGTTTTAGTTTATCTCTTTTGTTGCCTTTGGTTAAGAGTTATTTTTTTAAAAGTTGAGGTTAGATAGCTTTAACTGCTGTCAACGATTCTACTCAAATTCTTTAATAGAACAATAAAATCAATCACAATTTCCTTTTTAAAAATAAAACTTTGTCATTTTCAGGGCACTGTTGATCTTCTGCGCAAAGAAGCCAACTTGGGAGAAGGAACACCAAGCTCGCAATGTCCTCCATCAGATTCCGATGTAAGCAGCATGCTTGCTGCCTATAAAAGTGAAGGAGATCCTGAAAAATATGAAGAAGCTTATACAGATTTAAAGAAATTTGTAGAGGGTGCCCTTGATATATACAAAGTAAGTCAAATATTTACCATCTGCTTGAAGGTTCTTTTTGTATATAGCACTTATTAATATATAATATGTTTTTGAACAGTATGAACTAGGTATGATTCTGTATCCAGTTCTAGTGCACATGTACTTGGAATTATTATTCAACAACCATGAAGATCAAGCTAAAAGGCTAATGGATAAATTTGGAACAGACCAAGAAGATTATTTTCAAGATGATTTGAAAAAGCTCTCACATGTCTGTAAAAAAGATCATTTAAATGGCAATGAGTTGACTGACACTTTCACGTGAGTTTCATCTTATCTATCGCCTTTTACAGATTATTTTAAAAACTTACTTTAAAAACAAATGATATTTTTCTTTTCAGTAAAAATGAATTTATTATTCGCATGTCTCGTGACACCCTTAGTATTCTTAAAAGGCACCTGGCTGAAAAAAAGCATAGTGTAGTCCAAAATATTATTCAGGAACATTTGTATCTAGATATGTATGAGGGTGTGGCCCGTAATAAGCAACAAATTGATGCAACATCTGGTGCCATGATAGGAGAGGCATCCAGAGCAGGTAATATTCAAATACTGTACACTTTGAAATTTCTTATACATTTACACAATTGTAAACTGCACCCTTCTGCTGATTTCTCCAAGCTATACATTGAGTCCCCTGTAGCCACTTAGTGATCATGGTTCATGGGAAAATAAAATCCTGTTTTCTCAGGGAATATATAGATTTAGAAGTGGGGTGCAGCTTTTAATTGTGTAGCATTTTGTCATATGAAAGTATGGTATTTCATTCTCAAAATTATTGTCAACATTCTACTGTTCCCCTTTAACTTTTCTACCAGACAACAAAGCCAGGGTTTATTATGGTCTGCTGAAAGAACCAGATGTATCAAATGCTGCCTTAGAGGAGGAAGATGAAGAAGAAGATGGTGGTGACAAACCAAAGAAAAAAAAGTCAAAAAAAGATCATCTTTATCCAAAAAAGTCAAAATCTGATCCAAATGCACCACCAGTTGATCGTATGCCTCTTCCTGAACTGTGAGCATTTTTCCCCATTAATTTTTGAAGTTAGCACTGGTAGTTCTAAATTTGCAATCTTGATATAATGTTTTTTTCCTGTTCAGGAAAGAGGCAGAGATACGCGAAAAAGTGAAAGCAATGCGAGATTCTATGAAGAGAGTCAATTTAGGACCAGAAACACTACCCTCAGTATGTTTTTATACACTATTAAATGCAAATCAAAGGTATTTCCTTTTCCTCAATGTTTTGAGAGTTCAGTCATGTTTATGTGTTCATTAAAATTTATCTAAATGTTTTACAGTGTAACATGTGCAGAAATTTCCGAAGATTCAAGCCTCTTGGCTGTAGGATTCAATGATTCATTTATCAAAGTTTGGACTCTTGTGCCTACAAAACTGAAAAGTATGAAATCAGCTGATCAACTGAAGGATATTGACCGTGAAGCAGGTAAACTGCCTACTGACTGAAATGAAAACACAATGTATTTTTTCTCTATCCATGTTATTGTGTGGGCTTATCTTTCATATTGCATAGAGGATGTCCTGGTCCGTATGATGGACGACCGCTCCTCAGAACCCTGCCGAACTCTTCTCGGGCATAGTGGACCAGTGTATCGTGTGGCATTTAGTCCTGACAGACAGTTGTTACTCTCATGTTCAGAAGACTCCTCCAGTAAATATTTTTTTATTGTTCTTGAACTTATACCTACTTCTCTGCACCCAAAGAGGAACTTATAGATTGAACTTCTTTTTGCAGTTCGTTTGTGGTCTCTGCTCACATGGTCATGTGTGGTGTGCTACAAGGGTCATACATATCCAGTATGGGATGTAAGATTTTCTCAGCATGGATATTACTTTGCCACGGGTGGTCATGATAAAACTGCTCGCCTATGGGCCACAGATCAACATCAACCATTGAGAATATTTGCAGGTCACTACTCTGATGTAGATGTAAGTGTACCCCCTCACAGTTTCCAACTTCATTGTGTGAAAGATTATTATTTATCTATCTACTATAAATTGCTTGCAGTGTGTTCAGTTTCATCCTAATTCAAATTACATTGCAACTGGTTCAAGTGATCGCACCGTCCGCCTGTGGGATTGTGTATCTGGGAGTCAAGTGCGTTTGATGACTGGGCACAAGGTAAGATGATTGCACGCACATGGGCCTCTCTCTAAACTAAAAACTCTGAACTCTGTTTATATTAATTATTTTATATCTTTTTGTTACAGGGACAAGTTTTGTGTCTTTGTTTCTCAGTGGAGGGTCGGTTTTTGGCATCTGCTGGAGCTGACTCAAGGGTCCTTTTGTGGGATCTGGCACATGGACATCTCCTTGCTGAGCTTTGTGGTCATACAGCATCTGTGCTATCTCTTGCTTTCAGCAGAGAAGGTAGTGTCTTAGTTTCAGGATCCACAGACTGCACTCTCAAAATATGGGACTTCACAAAACTCGCTGAAGCCATTGCATTGGAGGATGTGAATATCTCTCACAATCCTGACATTAAGAAGGATAGCAACACGTTTCTCCTAAGAACCTATGCTACAAAGAATTCCCCCATTCTCAGTTTGCATTTTACACGCCGTAACCTGCTTCTTGCTGTTGGACTGTATGACTCTCAAAGTTAACGAACTAAAACAATGTAAACTGTGGTTGATTTTGAAATTTGTTATCATGAATATTACATGTATCAATTTACTTTGTTTAAAATAAGTGCTAAGATTTTTGTCCCAAAGTTTTATTTGTTGCAAATTATTTCTCAAACAATGTAGCACTGAATAAAGTTACCGTCAGAAAAAAAAACGTTGTTAAACTGCAGGCTTTACTTAATACTGATCTATAATTCTAATATTAAAATTATCCAACATTAGGTGAACTACGAAATATAAATTAAAATGGCTTTCAAAGTAGTTTGGATTTGAAAAGGTATTCCACTTAAATTACAGAATTAATACATTGATAAATGCAAAAGTTACGGAGATGATAAAAACAAGGCCATAAGTCATAAAGATGCTCCCGAGCTTGAGGGTATATCAGGGAGAAAGTGAGATCTTACTTTACTGTGCAGTAAAGCTATTTCAGCATCCTCTCGCTCTAAGGCTCGAACAAGCTGTCCAAACTGGATAATACCTGAGAACATAGATAATTTTTTAACAGACATCAATTAACATAAGGGGAAGAAGAGCTAGTAACAACTCATCTTGACAGTGAGCCTTTAGGCCATGCTAAAAGTTGAGCCCAGCCAGAACCAAACTGCAGCCAGGTATGAGTTATTCTGATTTTTTTGAGGACTATATTATTTTTAACGTCCAGCTGCAACCTCGGCATACCACGCTATCAAGATATTAGTCACAAACTTGGCTCAACTTACCATGCCTTCCTTCGGAAAATCCATACTCTTTTATGACATCCATTTGAAGCATCATAACAATGGGGAAAACAAACTGCATCCGTTTTATCATGTCATTCCCAGCATTGTCTCTAGCTTCCTTGATTTTTGATGCATTCTCAGATTGGTCAATGGCTTTCAAAATGCAGTTCAATGCAGCTGCGTAACACAAAAGAAGACCAGGCAGTGTAAGCGGATCAAGGCAGTACTATAATAAGTAAAATATAGAAATCTAATAAAAAAAAAAATCGAGAAAATGTGAATGTAGGTTTTTTTATTGGTGGTAAAGGTTCAAAACTATTATTAATACTAATATACATGTTCTTCCTCCTAAATTCCTGCTTAACAAAGGGTTATGTGTCTTATGATAGTAAGGTACGGCCTATACATGGGCTTACCTCGAGCTGTTTCGCGAGAAAAAATGTTACCTTCTGTCATTGTTTCCTTCAAAAAGTTGGATGTTACAGTATATGAGGTTTCTGATAACTAATGTCACGTAGTCATGTCAGGGAAAGCATGAAATAGCAGACGGGGCGATGAACCATGGGAGAACAAAAATAAACATGGCGTTCACAGCAACTTTTCATCATGTGTGATGAAAAGGGAAAGGGGGGAGGTGGAGGGGAGGGTGGGGTGGTGGTCGGGTCGAGGGAGGGCACATTTCTTCATGATTCGGCGAATGTCATCAACTCATGAGGTTATTCTGTACACATTTGGGCGTTGTAACAGAAAATATTGTTCTTCCAATAAGACTTCAAAGTCGAAATTAGTCGAGACCTTTCACAAGTTTTCAGATCAGTATGCGTTTAGAAAAGTTTCGGCTGTTGTAAATAATGCAGTACTTTAAGGGTATTGGCAATGAAGTCATTTTGGCTCTTGTAGCCCCAACATTTATTCTATTGTTCTTGGTGATCAAATTTCTTGTTGAACAAATTTCTCAAGCCCCACATAACAGGTGAGTCTTAAATGATCATCTCATGGATCAAATTACTAGTGTCACACTTACTGGTTATCACGCAATAGCATGAAAGTAAATACCATCAAATTTAACAAATTAACTCCCCAAATCATAAGGTTTTTGGTATTTAACTGTAGATACCTGTGATTTTCAGTGCTGGAGATTCACCTTCTTCGAGGCGAAGTTGGACTGAATGGCTGCCAGCCTGGCTTTATCAGCCAGACACGGAAAATCCAAATGAAAATGTCAATCGTAAGCAAAGTTTTAATCCTGTTTTCTTTCCATCAGGAATCCATTTTGCACAAATAAATCTAAACTCAAACTAATTTTTTTATAGGTAATCGTACACATTTCGATACAGACACCTGTTCAATATGTATTGGACCATTTAGATTACCATTAGAAACAAATTGTGGACATCTTTTTTGTGGTAAGTTTTTATTTTACTTTGTGGTACCAAGCTGCTGTGAGACAATAAATTATCACACCCTTTGTTTGAGGCAAAAATTGTATAAAGTTTCAGGCTCTGTTTATCATTGTCGACGTGTGAATATTTTTCAGGGACATGCATATCAGCTTTGGCAAGTCACCAGTTTGCACTGCGTGCTGTACGGTGTCCATTATGTCGTCAATCGGTACTGACTCACAGCAAAGTTTTGCTTTATTTGATAAAAGAATCTGCTGTTTTTAAAATCTTGTTCCCATAGGTTTCAATTTTCTATGAATGCTTTTCTGAAGAAGAGCTCCATACTGAATCAGATGATAGAAATTCCATTCGTGAAATGGTCCAATATTATAACCGCAGGTTTTCTGGACAGCATTCTTCAGTAAGCACATTAATACATTTTTTTGTATGTCTCACTTTTTGTAGCTAAGCTGTTAATCATCTTTTTTTTTTTTTTAATAGCTTTGGTCCCACCTCCGAGACTTTCCAACTACTGTTCGCCACATGTGGCGTGAAATATTACGTTCAGACGGGGACACTGCTCATACAATTTTTCGCCTTCGAATTGCTCTTTTCTTTGCAGCTGCTGTCATGTATTTAGCATCACCACTTGACCTTGTGCCTGAAGCTGCTTTTGGAGCACTGGGTCTTCTTGATGATGTTATGGTTGTAGTTCTTCTTGCTATTTACCTCAGTATTCTGTATAGACGTCTAGTTGTCAGTAGGGGACTGAGAACTATGTGATGGTGTTGTAGTTGTTGTATAGGAAACAGCAGCTTTTGTTGAATTAATTCACTAGTCATAATGTGATGCAGGGTGATTTGTCAGGATCCAAAGTGTTATAAGAGATGAGATGTATGTTTGTATTTTACTACTACTTATGAGAAATTTTATTTTGAGAACTTATTTATAAAACTTACATTAATTTCTCCTAACCAATGCACTTTGGTTTAAGATGCATTATATAATAATTATATTGTCTCTGACAATATTGAAATGTACATACTATATATGCTGTAGTTTCCTCGTAGATTTGAAATGACTTTTCAGCAAGTTAAGAATGTCTAACATGATGTGATGTTTTCTATATTCAAGGGAATTTTGGAATTTGTAGTGTTTTGTTTTAAATATTTGAGACTGATGTTATTTTATAAATACGAAGTACCTTCATGTAGTTTGCCATTTGAAAAAGAAAAAAAAAAACATCTGCAGTTGTGTGCTGTTAGATAGTCTGCTATTCGTGATTTGGGAATGAGCATAATAAAAATTACAGATACTAAGAACGTAAGTGAGGATTTTTATCACAGATTGTTCAGAAATGCTTCAATATCAAGTCAAATAGTCTAAACAAGATAGCATTCGTAATTCACTTAATGATGAGGTGTTTCATTTCTCCCCTCAAAGAGCTAACAATACTTTTTTTGGCGTAATACAAAATCAATACAAAAATAGAGGTAATTTGACTATTAATAATTAAGTGTTCATGATTTATTTTTTAAAAAAGGAACAAAGGTGTATGCACTGCCTTTCAGAGCTATCCGAAGGCAAAATGTAGATGTGATACCTACCTCCCTAGCAAACACCCATAAAACCCGACATCATTGAATTAATCCCTCCATTACAAGTTGATAAGCACCTGGTCTAATTTTTTCAGCTTGTGCTAAAACTATAAGAAAAGTTGGTTCATCAATGTTAAGAGTTGCACATAGATGGCGGACAGTAGGGTTATCAACATAACTCTTTGGCTGATCTGATGGCACTCTAACAAAAGACAAAAAATAAATAAATCAAAATGCAATAGTTTTTCCTTTCCGAAAATGAACCAAAGCTAATTTGTAACTTACCCATTCCAATGAACAATACTCAGTAAAGTAAGTGCTAGTTTACGTAATTGTTGAATGAATAAGGCAACAACTCCAGACCACGTATTGGGGGGCAACCTCTTCAGGTCATGAATGAGTCCACGCACAATACTAGACTCGTCCTTAGATACATTCATAACATTCCTGAGAGAAAGTAATGAACTAAAGTTAACATGCCATGCAAGCATCAAGAACCAAAGGACAATAATTTTTAACTTGTCCTATTGTTAGTAACAGCTTACTCTGGATGATCAGTTTTTCTCTGATGTTGATGAAGGGGTAGACCCCGTCGAACAGCAGTAGCAACGCCAGTGCTCTTACTTAAATCTACCCAAGTCACGGGTAGTGGATTGTCAAGAAGTTCCTCAGAGCTTAAATCTCGGCAACCAAATTCATCCAAAAGCAGGCCCTAAGTATTACATCAAATTAATATAAGATAATGAGCTAGTTATAAACTTTATTAATAAGTTCTAAAATACCTGAAGGAAAAGGCCAATTTGAAAGGTGTACTTTTGACCAGAGGAAACAAGTCTTGAACAGCTTTGAGCTTCTTCATCCAGGAATAAAGCAAGAAATGATATCATCTAATCACACAAATAAAATAAAAAATGAAAATAAATTATGGCTCTCATGTATATTATAATTAATAAAAGATAAAGTTGTACCTACAGAATTGATTTCTGATGAGATGTTTCCCATGACAATAGTGCATCCAGAAGTCTGCAAATGTGATGTAACAGCTCGCTCAATGAGAGGATTTCCTAGAGTTGTTGGAGAGAGATATGACTGTAGTGCACGATGGTCTCCTAGGCCATTCACTTCCAATGACATGAGCATGTGGCTCATTTCAATCATCCAAGTATCCACCATAGTGCTGGGAGGTATTTCAATGCCATCAATTCCATGAACTTTTGAAACCTTGACAAATGAATTAAAAGACAAAGTAAAGAAATCACAAAGGTTTAGCATAAATTAACTCAGCAAGAATAAAGACCAGAAAAAGAAAATGAAATAAGCTGACTGACCGACAATAGAAATTCAGCCATTCTGGTGGAAAGTCTTTCCAGCCAGTGCTGACAGAGATTCCGTAGAGGCAAAAACCTCGAGTATTTAGAGTACTTCACAAGCAATGCAAGTGAGTATGGAGATGATCCACTAAGTGGAACATGAAACATTAAGGACTGGGCTACCATGTCCAAATCAGGAACAATGAACAAAGCACTGTTGTTTTGCTCTGGTGTTGAAGAGCCGGTTACGCAGGTGTAGTTGACAGTATGGCTTGTCACATATTTTATAGCTTTCATCAATAACACTTTATTGTATTTAGAAGACATTTGATGAGGACAAGAAAACTGACATGCTGCTTTCACACTTCTAGGAGTGGTGAACTTACAGAGCTCATTTTCTGAGTAGTTTTCATCATCAGACACTGTTTCAGGAAGCCACACTCTTATTGTTCGTGGACCCATGATGTCATCCCAACGGGACAGAACCATAGCACAAGCAGTGGAATCATCATCATTTGGTAATACATGTGAGCATATAGATGACAAGTTCATATCAATACTTGGATAATCATGATCATCTGAGTAAGAGTCACTAAGATCAGAATTATCCTCACTAAATTCTGATGACATTTTTCTCACTTTGTATTGAACGACTGATTCATCTGGGGGAGGGTTGACCTTGATCAAGTGCTTTACCTCCTCTTGAACTGTGCTTGCAATATTAGCACTCATAGCCACAGAGCGTATCATGGGAGGTGAAAAGTCTTCTTTCAATTGAGATTGTGTCTCTTCACTGACCTCCATGCATGAATCTAAGTGTTTCCCTCCATCCATAGTTGACATTAGATGTTCAGCAAGATAGACCATACAAAAGAAATTATCAGAAAAAAGAGATTCATCGAATGAGATATTGTTGATCAAGGTCAGTTAAGACTTCTAATAATGCCAATGATGGAAAAGCTGTCGTGGGGCTGTGTTATATATGTTGCATGTGATAACAATTTCCAAGGCAGTCATAAAGATAATCAAAACATTAGAGGGAGTAAAAAATGAGAAAATTATGTAAATCTAATAACATTGACAAAAATCTGAATGGAACAAAGAAAACACGTTAAAGTGCAAACTCATTTCAAAAAGGGCAATATTACAATTAGTGAGGGACCCATAAATGAGTGGATTATGTTCTTTGTCCTCAAGGTATGAGCAGGATTTGGATTTGGCTCACCTCTGCGGGCGCTTTTAGGTAGATCACAAAGGGTTAGGAAATCGTTTAGGACATGATATTGTTAGCTAATCACAATTTCTCGTTTGCAGATTGAAAATAAATCCATTTCAAACGGGTGACGATTTGTATTCGAACAGCGACTTCGATCACATTCGCTGTCAAAATAACATAATTGAATGAGTAAATCGTCTTGAAGAATGGATGATGATTGTGTGGATTTCTCATACTCGCCTCCCCCCTCCCCGCGTTCCGCGTTCTCCTGCGAACGACGTGCTTCCCCCTTGAGCTTCCCCCTTTCCCACGGCAGGCAACCAGTTCGCCTTCCGTCAATTCGAAAACTCACCTCGTGATCAATGGAAAGGACATTTACAGGGTGGTCCACAGACCCCTTCTTTTATTTTGTTTACACTGTACCGCATGCAGATGTGCGAGAGGGCCTGCCTACCGTCGCTCACCACGGCGCCTTATGGCCCCGTGTGAGTATGCAACCCAGTTGCTCGTCTGCATGCGGTACCGGGTGTATGCAACTGTGAATACGCAGCAGTGTTGCGGGTTTGCCTACTCTTTACACCCGTAAGGGGCCATAGCCCCTGCGGCACCCGCAAGTATGCAAACCCGCAACACTGCTGCGTATTCACAGTTACACACGGTACAGTAGAAGCAAAATAAAGGAAGGAGTCTATGGACCACCCTGTATGGAATGTCCCCAAAAATGGAAATGCCATTTCTTTTTGTAGTATATTTATTTCACTCTCTGTATTTCAAACTACGATCAAGCAGACACGTTACACACGATAATGCAACATTCCTCAAAATAAGCCTTTTGATTTTATGGTTGAAATATGCTAAAACTTTAAGACCTGGAAGCTGAATAGATTTACTTTTTGGTCAATCTGTATTATTTGTATATTTGTACATTTATAAAAGCAACCCTGCTCACTACCGCATGAGGTCGCCCAGTAAAGTAAACAATAGTTATCTAGTTTTTAGGAGAATACACGATTACACAATGTTTCAAATTGTTTGTATTGTTCTGGTACTTATGTAAGATCTACGTACTAGGAAACACAAAATTATTATTTGGATGTTGTGACATAACCAGGGGGAATTATAAGACATAACAAATCTCAGTAGCGTCCATGCACATTCATGTTTCTTAAAGTGCGGCAAATGCGCATAAAAATAAGGAAAACAGTAACACGTTTTTGACGCATTGTGCGCATTACGTGCTACCCGGGGAAGGGCACGTTTAGTTGGTGCCCTGAAAAATAGGAAGTACTTTTATTGTCGACCGTTTAGTCCACATTTTATGCTGATCAAGATAGAGCACACTCAAATAATTAACAAATAGATATGCACTATTAACTAGCCCGATTGGGCATAAAACCTTTGCATTTTTTCTAACCAGAAATGTGGACTATTGATAGCAATAATGTAGAAACAACTGAAATTTATCTGTAATAAGTCCACAATATGATATGCAAAAAATGATATTACATTCATATATTTTTTTATTTTACAGAACAGTGGGATCTGAGAGAGTCCAAATATTTTGGTAATATTTATCATCAACAAATAAACTGGTAAATATACACAAGTCACAAAATCAGCGGTTGTGTTAATTGGTTCTTTCAAGTATATATTGTGTAGCAAAATTTACTAAATGAAACTCAAATGTACTTCAAGAAATGTTGTAAACATAAAAAGCAATAATAATGGCAAAACTCATTTTACAAATTGACAAATTTATAATACAGCAGGATATTGGTATCCCGAGCCCGTTTGCCCCGTTGCCTTAGGTAAGACGACCTACAAACAAAACTCAACTAACATTTCTAAAGAGGTCACAATTACGCCATCTTGACATTTCGTCAGCCAGACGCCGATAGACGTCTAATCGCGTCTAATAGACATTTCCGGACCATTTATAGACGATCTCTGTTCGGGCGCGGATTAAGGGATCGCCCCGCACCCCCTATCGCCTGTAGCTAAGTGAGCCGCCTGATAGGTAGGCAATTTGCGCTACAAAACTCCCTGTATGTAGGCAACCGACAAACAGTGCATAGCCCCCTGTCCGCCGGACCATGACC